TAGATTACTTTTCATGATAAATGACAATGTGAGCAACGCCGGGTCTATAATAATGTAAAATAAATATGACAGTATGTTCGCTGGTACGTGGATTCACGTACCCACAGATCTACAAATGAACCAATCTTTTTATTAATTCAAGATCAACACAGGCACCCCTTTATCCCGGAAAAATGCAACGTGCCTAATTCTTTCCGAGCTATAAATATAAAGCAGGTAAAAACGCGGGGTACGTCTACTTAAATAACAAAATAATCCTGGAGATTGCACATGTTATTAAAAGAGAATGAAACTTCAGGATTTTTTTTTGGAGTTTAACAGTTAGACACACTAGAGACAAACACAACATAACTGTAGATATATGTTTATTGTATATACGTATTTTCTTTAATAATGGCTCCGTCTATCTTGATGCCCATCTAGGTATTGTCAATAGTACACCTTCAACTGTATTTTTTTCAAATTCCTGTAGATATGGAAATGATTTTCTGATAGAGATCGCTTTTAGTGGTCTTAACGCCTGCTGTACAACTATGCCTGCCTGTCGACTGTTTTTGAATGTTGTGTTTTAGTGTGCATTATGGTATATTCTCTCACTCTCTCTCTCTTTTTCTCTATCTCTCTCTAATTTTTTTTTCTCTCTCTCTCTCTCTCTCTCTTTATCTCCGTCTCTCGTAGTGAGAGCTTAAAACATAAGAATTACGGAGCGTCATAAAAGGGATTGTGGTTGAAACGATCTGAAACCACAGTATTCGTTACAGTATAAGGGAATAAACGTGTACGCTCACCGAAATAGTGATGTGGGTGTTGGTTTTTATTGTTACGACCGCGCCGTAACGAGCTTTCCGCTGCCTCTAAGTATAGCTTTAGACGTTTTAGTCGAACGATGTACCCGGCTATAACGTTTGTTGGCTTCACAGTTCTCTAGAACTATATCACTAGATAAATGGTAGATAAAAACAGTGAACGTTGTTTGTGAAGGCACGGGTTCAATGGAAAAGCACCCATTAATTTTCTCGCTGGATCTTCTGATGGAGGTGAAGACATAATAGCAGCCCCCAGAGAAAAACAAAATTGTATTAATTCCTCTGCCAACATCCTGTAAATTTCTTTCGTGAAAAAATCACGTCTTACTTTTTGAACGGAAAGTGTTTTTAAGTGCTTAAATGTCTTCATCTGGTGTTAAATGATTACCGGATCCCATAGACATTAACAATGTAAATACCAACACCCACCTAGAGATTACTTGGTTTACATTTTATAGCATAACGACTGTCACATCCTTCAAACCGAAACGCATTAGCACGACCGAAATGGGCGGGATGGTGGTACCTACCCGTCTGGGCTCATTACACCACTACAAGGACCGGAGTTTCATTTATAAAATATTTACAATATATCTTGAGCAAAAACTATTATTAGCTGCAGTTCTTACTATTTAAATGAAGAACTTTTTTTTGCCTAAACTGATGGAAGAGGCCGTCCCAGCATAACCCTTATAAGTAGGTGAGCTCACCTGACGACGTTGCTAACACTAGCCCTAGCAAGAGCAGTGCTTCGCAGAATCTACCACCGGATCGAAAACGCCATCCACTGAGAAGACACCCACCGGCACTAGTATTTAATATATACTTAGTCTGGCCATAAATACTGTTACAAAGGAAACAAAAAAAATTCTATGGCAAATAACATTTATTACTTTTACAGTGTGTTAGTTTAATACATTAATATAAAACAATTTAAAGTATAAAAAGCTTATTCGAAGTGGTCTTCATTGGCTGCAATACAGTCCTTTAAGCGTTGAACAGTATTTATGGCCAGACTAGATAATTCGAAATCTAATAAAATTATATCTCTCATTAAATTTACGGTACTAAAAATTTGTCGGTAGCATGTATATGTACATACGTCTCAAAACACGTTTCTACTTCTTAAAAAAAAAAAAAAAAAAACGAGCCTAATTATCACAATGCAAATCGTACAAACATTTTACTAATGTCAGCCAACATGCGGCGGCGGCGGGGGCCGGATCAAACATTCGGCCAAGCGAACAAACAACGATGTTTGGACTATCGCCACTTTCGGCTCAGTACAAATAAGGACTGTTGTTTGTTCAAGTGCTAGTAACACGCCACTGCGACGATCGTTGCCCACTTAAACAAAGCCCTTGACAGCCCTTTGCGGTAAAATTGAAATTAAGAAACCCGTAGCTCCCGTTACGCTGGTGTCGGTTCGAAACAAGGCGACACCTTTCTCATCCGTAGTGGGAGTTTTACCTGTCATATGTTTTAACAAGCTTAAGTAAGGGTTGACATGGTCTATAATTTACTCTGAAGTGACCGTATTTCTTAAGTTGTCCACCATTCGTTTATATAACACGAAACCTCTTTTAAAAACACACAAACAAATTAAATTGACTAACTACTTGACTTCACATTAAAATCGAAATTTATTAAGAACAAAGAATCCTTTATTATCAAACAACGGATCACTACGGTATCGAATTACTGTGTCATCTTGAATACAAACACTTTTTTGTTCGAGCACCGGTTCAAGAACCAGAGATGGTTTAAAATTACATTGTTTATTATAACAGAATGTATCTAATTTCATTTGTAACATATAATCGTTGTGGTATCGTAATATCATTTTAATACTGAACTAAAAACGGGTTCGAGTCAGTCGGCGAATCAAATCTGTTGCGTTCCATTTAGCTTCGAGACGAGAACAAACTCTAGTTATTTTTATTAGGAGAAACGCACCATTTGACAACAGTGTGCTTAGTGCGAGTTTCGTAACGTTCTCGATAGCGTAAAAGTTAAGCCAATTCTGTATGCAGTTGGATCAGCGCCCCAAGCGGCAAACGCACGCAAACGATCCCATTCCATACAAATATGAATTAACTTTTACGCTATCGAGAACGTTAAAAAACTCGCACTAAGCACACTGATGTACACTTATGTTCGCAATAAAAATTTAACTATGTAACTAGCGGCCCGCTCCGACTCCGCTCGGGTCAACTAAAATTTCAATGATATTTGACGTTGTTTTATTTTTTAAATAAAAGAACACTTATTGCGGCATAACTATAATAGTTAGACATATGCTGTCGCGACACTTTTTGTAAATAATAATGTGTTCTACAAAGTCGTAGTACATTATTTTATTCTATCATCAATAGTTTTCGCAGGGCACGCGATGTAAATTATATTTTAGGTAATTTTTTTACACCTTGGGTTACATTATTGGTGTCTTAGTAAGGATCCCTAATTTTTTCAAAAAATATTATAGCCTATGTCACTCAGGAATAGTGTAGCTTTCAAACAGTGAAAGAATTTTTCAAATCGGTTCAGTAATTTCGGAGCCTATTCAATACAAACAAACAAGCAAACAAATCTTTCCTCTTTATAATATTAGTATAGATAGTATAGATGATAAATAAAAATAATAAGCGATGAATTTCCAAGATTACTTTCAAGCTTGGATTGTTTAGATCGAAATCGTATCGACAATGTAACTCCCGAATTTCTAGAAACAATTATTGGATCACAGCTGCTCATCAGCTGTCTCCGGGTACTCCGGCTTAGAACGGCGACTGCTGTGACGTTAATTACTTGATTAAAGATCTTGAACGTAACTTAAGCCGCATCGATATTTATAAATATTGAAGGATTAAACTGAGCGGCTTTTTTATCGTTGTTTTTTTTATTTTTTACTAGCTGACCCGGCAGACTTCGCAGTGCCTCAATCGATAAATAGAAGACCTAAGCATGTGTATAAAATAAACTTAAAACAAACAAAAGAATGCGTCTGACGGGGGACACATCAAAGATAAAGAATATTGTTATTTTTATTTCATTTTCAATTTATCTACCTTTTAAACCTTCTCTGGACTTCGACAAATAATTCAAGACCAAAATTAGTCAAACCGGCCCAGTCGTTCTCGAGTTTTAGCGAGACTAACGAACAGCAATTCATTTTTATATATTATATAGATTTAACTATAGTTCAATAAATATACATAGCTTGATACGCGGTACAGTTAGCACAGTGATACTTTATAGGGTCGGATTCTATTCTAAATTATTCCAAACGATGAAATAAAACTATACTAGAGGTCCCGCACTAGTCGAAATTCGACTATAATTAATTAGAATTATAAGTTTGTACACTATTATGATTGTATTTTATACTTCTATAATCACAAAATTTGCCAAGGCTACACTATAAAAAAATATTAATAAAGACAAACAATATTTAATCTATTCTCAATTTGAAAACAGACGTCAAGAACAAAAGTTTTACAATAAATAGTATGCATGCGTGTGTGCGTCAAATACATGGTATGTAGTGTGTGTAATGTTTTCTTTATTGATTTAATATATCTTTTAAGCATTATTTAAAAAAAATATTAGCATTGTGCACTTCTCCTCTATGTTCTCTAAAAGTGTAGAAAATTTCATACTCCTTCGTCCGCGCAATTTTCGTAAAAAGGGATACAAAGTTTTTGCTTCACGTATTATAAAACTATATTTCCAACATATTATCGCTCCGCCAATCATCCAGCTTATTGAGTATTTAATAAATTCTATAGTCAAATTCGTTTTATTTATTTTACGATGTTCTACGCTTCAAAAACATCTACATCATTTTCTTCGTCGGGCAGATAGATATTACCATCTTAATATTTTTAAATAGTTTAAATGATTAATTAATAAGATGTTTTAAGGTCAACTTTCTTTAATGTAAAATTTTCTTAAACTTTTAAACCAAAAGAATACGGTGATTAAGATTTGTTAAACAAACGCTAAATTGAAAACATAACATATTTTTTAATTAACTCTTACTAAAATTAGCCTTTCTAATTAGATTGTAAAATTTTAATCAAATGGAAAATCCCACAATATGTGTTTGTGTAAAATAAAATGTAAGCTTTGTGTTGTTCAATGTGTATTTTAATAATTTTTTTTAATGATTAATTAATTTTTATTTTATTTTAGGTGGGTGGTAGTGGCGGGCGCTTGGCGAGCAAGCGTACTCCGACCACCTAATCCACCGGGTACAATGGCGAGAAACGACCGCCACTCATCCCTGCTTCAGCTGGCGGCGTGGGGCGTGCCGGCAGCCCTAGCAGCAGCCGTTCTCGTCACCAGAGACGTAGATGCCGATGAACTTACAGGTTAACTTACCCTGTACTTTAATATTGTGTTATTCCTTTTGCATCGATAATCATCTTGTGAAACAATCTAAAGACACACGACGTATCCTTTACTAGGCTACACTGTGAAGTGTAGTGTGATCTTGTGAGTCCGCACGGGTAGGTACCACCGCCCCGCCTATTTCTGCCGTGAAGCAGCAATGCGTTTCGGTTTGAAGGGTGGGGCAGCCGTTGTGACTATACTGAGACCTTAGAACTTATATCTCAAGGTGTGCGGCGCATTTACGTTGTAGATGTATATGGGCTCCAGTAACCACTTAACACCAGGTGGGCTGTGAGCTCGTCCACACATCTAAGCAATAAAAAAATAAAAAAGCTCAGACGTAAAGCCCTAATGCCAAATTACACTCTTTTTTTTTCAAAAACGGCAGTTTTTGACTTACTTACAAACGAAGCCTCCCTTGGCCCTCCAATAAACGGACTTCAATGCATAAATTACTTTTACAGGTTATAAATTACGAATATATTAAAATTGTTGTATAAATAATTTAAGTCAACCTATCTTCTGACAGCTGCTAATTATGACAAACTTAAAGATCAAGTTATTCAGTCATATCTCAAATTAATATGCAATAGTTAGTTCTTAACAAATTAGTTCCAAACCTGGACCAGTATGGGGTGGTTGCATCCAAGTTTTTTTTTTATGTCCGCTTTTGAATTGTAAATGTTTAATTTACAATTCCAATTTATTATACACACGAGACTTCGATGGAAGTTGTATCAACTTGTTTTTACGCTGCGTTTTCTTGGTAGCCCTCTCGATATGGTAGCGTTTATTATGTGCCATTTCAAATAGACTGGCCGTAACAAGAACCGATGTTACTTGAACGGTTGTTTTTATTCGGTCGCGTAGAGTTCAATGCTTCATTAGAGGCTGCTCTATTGAAGGGTACGCAATACCGTATTGACCGCAACGAACTTTTTTCTTTTTTTATTACGACATTTTTTTTTCTTTTTTGTCTACCTAACTGCCAGTTTTCTCGAAGCGGTATTCTGGCTTCACCTAGACTGGTCTGCTAATTATATGATTCATCAAATTAGGATTGCTTTAATAATTTTCACTACGACAAAAGAAAACTTAGATTGCACTTAGATTGTACTTGTGTTGTGCTTAAGGAAATAATAACAATAACAACAAAAAAACTGTACAAGTCTTAATGTATCGTTGGATAAAATTTCGCTGTGATCTATACTTATGCTTATACTTAATATTATAAAGAGGAAAGATTTGTTTGTTTTTTTGTATTGAATAGGCTCCGAAACTACTGAACCGATTTGAAAAATTCTTTCACTGTTTGGAAGCTACACTATTCCTGAGTGACATAGGTTATAATCTTTTTTGAAAAAAATTTGGGATCTTTACTAAAACTCCAATAACGTAACCCAAGGTGTAAAAAAATACCTAAAATATTCTTTCTATCGCGTGCCCTGCGAAAACTATTGATGATAGAACAAAATAATGTACTACGACTTTGTAGAACACATTATTACTTACAAAAAGTATCGTGACAGTATATGTCTAACTATTATGGTTATGCCGAAATAAGTGTTCTTTTATTTAAAAAAACAAAACAACGTCAAATATTGTTGAAATTTTTGTTAAAGACCCGAGCGGGGCCGGAGCGGGCCGCTAGTTACATATAAAAATGTTCGCGATCGGATCGATTTTATTTCGCATCCGGTATAACAATATATATCTAATACAAAGGGTTGTGATTCTTATTTAAATCGTTTTCATGTTTGATCGGCGGCGTTTTTCAAACGATTTAATCTTTTACAAGAACCCAGGAGCACGTATTCAAGCAAAAGCCCTTCAGCGTGTGCATGCCGGTCGATTGTTTCAACGAACTGTCGATTTTAAAGAAATCAAGAAATGCATGAACGTACTTATTATGAAATGGACCCTTTATATAGTTTTTCCTCGTCATTCAAATTATGTAAAAAAAATATGCTTAGTTGGGTGGACGAGCTCACAGCCCACCTGGTGTTAAGTGGTTACTGGAAATAAGCCCATAGACATCCACAACGTAAATGCGCCACCCACTTTGAGATATAAGTTCTAAGGTCTCAAGTATAGTTACTAGTAATTATCATAAAATCATGCTCATTCTGAACCGCATTACATACTCGTTTAAAACCAAATTTAAAAAGAATAGAAAACTGACTTCAACAAAATAAAGGTAATAGCATCGATATTGTCAAATCAATTAAATATGAATTGCAAAAAGACAAGAGAAATACTAGCATGCAAATTTTCTTTTTTTATTGCTTAGGTTGGTGGACGAGCTCACAGCCCACCTGGTGTTAAGTGGTTACAGGAGCCCATAGACATCCACAACTTAAATGCGCCACCCACCTTGAGATACAAGTTCTAAGGTCTCAGTATAGTTACAACGGCTGCCCCACCCTTCAAACCGAAACGCATTAGTGCTTCACGGAAGAAATAGGCAGGGGGGTGGGTAACCCGCGCGGACTCACAAGAGGTCCTATCATCAGTAATTACGCAAATTATAATTTTGCGGGTTTCATTTTTATTACACGATGTTATTCCTTCACCGTGGAAGTCAATCGTGAACATTTGTGGAGTACGTATTTCATTAGAAAAATTGGTACCCGCCTGAAATTCGAACATCGGTGCATCGAACAAAGAATCGAAAAAGAAGAATAAATAAAAAAGAATCAATAAAATCGGTTCACCTAGAAAAAACTTAGAAAATACACATAAAAAAATTAATTCAAATTGAGAATCTCGGTTAAAAACGTATTATAAACACAAAACTTCTCAATTAGAAATGATTACAAAAGTTAGCCGAAATATTTCTTATCATGGTACATATCTACTTACTTTAGAAACTCCGAAAGAACTGCTTTAGGAACAAAAGAAAGCCGAGGACTTAGCGGTTAATTCAAAGCCGGAACGAACAAAATATCACATCAACTTAAAATAAGTTAATTCCATAAATAACAAAGCGGGAACATGTATTATCAAAAGGTTCTTATCGTTTAACTTTGTATGAATAATTTAAGATGAGTTTAAAGCAAATGAACAACGCCGCACAGATACGCTGTGAATGTATTAATCTCACTGGAGATACAGGAGGGTGCTAGCTTACATATTTACGTGTCAAAGATTTGTTGGCAAAACTGGTAAAGCATATTCTTGTCTAATCTAAATAACTTTTATATTTATAATTTACCTAATACGCGTGAAACTGTGTTCAATAATTCATAATTAATAACACATACAAACTTAGAGCGCAGATACAGATAATACAAAAATATAACCTATACATTATTAATATGATGCAACTTTTTTAACTAGCTTCAAAAAAGAGGGAAGTTCTCAGAAATTTATTTCTTTGTAGGCTGGCCCTTTCGGTTTTCGAGTTATCCTTAAAATTAATACATATTTAATTGAATATGACTATATTGATGATATTCTCATTTTATATCGTCGAAGTAGTTTTTCTTTTTTATTACAATTTCGCATTCCACACATAGATCGTTTTATTTACGTTCCATTATACATAATCATTTTATTTTCATTTTTAACGTGCGAACGAAGCACCACGGCCCGTTTCTCAGCCATATTGCAATTTCAATAAAGCCATTGTGATTTTTATTTTTATTATTTGTCCTGCGGGTTCCATTATGGCGGCTGAAAGAAATGCTCGACCATTATTCGAGCCGTTAAATACGACACCTTTCCTCCTCGCACGCTCGTATTTCAATTTTAAAATCGGACTCTTTTAACAGCCTTATTAATGCAAGCCCTTTTCTTCCCGCCGTGTTTGTGTAGGTGTTCACCAGCAGCCTTTCTGAAATCGGAATGTTATTCACGATATAATGAGCGCTTTGGAACACAAATTCGTATCCGCTCTCCTTGTGTCGCATGTCGTCCCGTTCGAGGGATTTTAGTAACAGTGGATCCATTACGTTTACGACAGCTAATTCGTTCGCAATTTTCGTTTTTAATACGCTTTTATTTTTTTTTATTGCTTAGGTGTGTGGACGAGCTAACAGCCCATCTGATGTTAAGTAGTTACTGGAGCCCATAGATATCTACAACGTACCTAAATGCGACACACACCTGAGTAAATGCGCCACACACCTAAAAATGCGCCACACACCTTTAGCTTTAGACGTATGTATGTTAGTATGTAACGGAATCTTTAAACATGATTTTGACCCCTTCAAAATGTCGGATTAACTCGAAATTTCGTATACTTACTAAGGACCGACGACAATTCAATATTTAAAAAAAAAAAGAAAAAAAAAGAAATTGAAAAAATTGAAATTCAACTAAAAAATGAAAAATAAATAATAGTTTAAAAAAAGCGTGGGGTGCATGGTATCAGTAGCTATAAATATTTTATGAACAGATATGAGTAGAAAGGCTATTTTGATAATATCCTGAAAAGCACCCACGCTTTTTTTACAATAAAATCATTTTTTCTTACACTATTTTTAATTCAAATTTATTAAAATTTAATTTTTAGTTGGATTTTCTATAAAAGTGTATTTTGTTAGTTCTTTTAAACTATTATTTATACATTTTATACCGTATTTCGTCTCCCATACGTAAAATCTTGGTTGAAATTTATTCTATAAAAAAATTATGCAGTGTACCTAACAGATAATACATTTATGTTACCAGCAACAAAGCAGTGATCATAATAATATGATTAAGGGTGACAGAATCTTTAATCGGAACATTTGCTTATAATTTTTTTTTTTTTTTTTTTGCATAGATGAGTGGACGAGCTCGCAACCCACCTGGTGTTAAGTGGTTACTGGAGCCCATAGACATCTATAACGTAAATGCGCCACCTTCCGTGAGATAAGTTCAAAGGTCTCAGTATAGTTACAACGGCTGCCCCCACCCCTCAAGCCGAAACGCATTACTGCTTCACGGCAGAAATGGCGGGGTGGTGTGGTACCTACCCGTGCGGACTCACAAGAGGTCCTACCACCAGTAAGAGTTGTTATTGATCCGTTTTGAAAACATTCGAATACTAACTACATAAATGTATTTTTTTTTTCATTTACAGGTACGTGCTTCGTCGGCAATCAATCGACCAAGTCCCTCCTTGCGCTCGTAATCGTACCTGAAGCAATATGTCTGCTACTCGGCTGCGTGTTCCTTTCGTCCGGACTACGCGCTGTTCTTCGCAAACCAGTTCCCGTGCACACACCAGCCCTATTATTAAACGCTCCACAGCCGCACACAGATCAAAGCGTTTTGCGTTTAGGTGCTTTCGCAGCTCTATACGCTGTTCCGTCGGCGTGTATTCTCGCTACTTGGGTTTATGAATACGCGTGGAGAGACGAATGGCTGGCTTCACCGGTTCCGTCTTCGGAGCCATCGACACACGCCCACCCAGCATTCTGGGTGTTCCTATTTAGAATATTCGCTATTCAAATACTCGGTGTGATGGTGGCCGTTTGGATAGCAACGCCCCGCCTTAAAGCTCTGTGGAGAAGGGTGACGGGACCTAGAAAGCCAGTGCCTCCCAAATGTCCGACGGGGCCGACACAAGCGCCCCTAACTCTTCATTGTTACGCAACACATCCTCATACGATAGCGCGACATCCTTATAATCCAACAAAGTACGCAACATACCGACCTCCGCAGCAGCATTCGTACAGGAAACCTAGGCATTATCATTATTCAGCGGGTGAAACTATACTATGACGGAAATAAAACAATTTTTTGGTTTCAATAAAATAAAAAATATGAGCTTACAAGGCTCACATAGTTACTCAATTGTCGGTAATACGGAGGATTTAAATAAATAGATAAAGAATACACGTGTAATTTTATTGGTTTTCCAAAAAAAAATTGAAGCACGTGCTAAGATTATAAAATGAAATTTCCTGACTGAATTATGTTCAAATGCCTATTATATTAAGATATATGCAACCTCGCAATCGAATACCTACGTGGTAATTGTAAATAAATTATACTAATTATAAGGAATGTAATTTAATGTACATATAAATTGATTGTAATTATTATATAAGGTAATTTAATTTAAAATTAAATGTGTGTAACAGTTAATAATTATTAGACAATCCGATTTTTATTAATATTTACGGGTATGCGAACACCATCGCCTCGAACTACATTTTCTAATCAATCGCAATATCCAGATTATATTATTATATTATACCTGACAATTTATACCTGACAATTTAACCCTCTAATTGAAAATTCGATCTTATGATTTACAAAACCCCATAAAAGGCGAAGTTGAGGTTAAATCCATCGACAACCTGAAATACATTTTTTTCTGTCGACACTCCGGGCCCAATAAAAACATGGAATACAGATTGAAGTTACTATCTCCGAGAAACCAGTCTCATTGACAGTATAAACAAACTCATTTTGAAACATACTCCATGAGTTGGGTCACAATTTGGATGTCTTTGATTTACTAATTTAAGTATGAAGTACCTAAAGAGAGAACAAAAAATGTCTTTTATGCATTTAACGCATCTGCCTATTTGAGCCCAAAACACTTAGGAATGTCGAATGAATTAAATTTAATAAGCAAGTCTAAGGACAGTAAAAAGACAAATTTTATCACGTAATACGATATCTACCAAATGAAATGTTTATTAAATTATAATTACGATATAAAATACTTAATTTACAATTTTTCATTTGTGATTCATCTGTAATGTTCTCTTTCCCTGAAAAGCCTAAAACAAGAGCCATCAACTTTGATGATACAAAACTAGCGGCACAGTTTCAGATACCCACAAAATTTTCATTAGCTTTAGCATTATTCAAGGATTTCACTTATCAGAGTTTACAGCGAGAGCCATGTCCTTACTTTTATAGGCATCAACCAACACCTGATAGGTGCTACCCCAACCCACCGGTGTGCGAAGTACTAACAAATCCACGTTGAGAACCGTACTGCTGTTACTACTAATGGTCAAATACCAGCTTGTGATTTTAGAAATACCCTCGGAGCTGGATATTAACTAATTCATTCGCAATTTTTAATATTACTGGTTATTATTTATTGTTCCATAACCATTGGAGGTATAAAATCGGATATCTATTTTTGTAAATTGTAAATGTTAATATTTGAAATATAATTCCGAAACTATGCTTCATTGTAATCTTATTGTTATTTGTATGTATTATTATCTAGCCACATAAAAAGCGCCACTGATTTAATTTGAATTTAGCGCAAAATAATAACATAAATTTTTTTGTAAGATAAATATTTGTCAGTCGGGTAAGTATAAAAAAACTTGTTTTATAAACGAAAATTAACTGCAACTATAAGTTACATCGAACGGCGATCATTAACGGCCGAACATTTAAAAGGCTAGTTTCGGCGTATCGTTTTCATGAAAATAATTACATATGTGCCTACAATAGAATTTAACTGAAATGTTATGCTTAATATGAGTAGATGTCATGCCGTGACCCCCAACTTGCCAAACAAAATATTAATAAGTACTTAAGTATAGTAATTGTATGATGTTGTAAATAAATAAATAAACTAAAATTTTACAATTATTTTTTTAATAATTTAAAAGCGTTTAACTTATATTAAGTTCAAGGTTAAAATCAGCTATAGTTAAGTGATAGGTACTTCCCCATTATAGTTTTATTTTTAATAAATTTTGAAAACTCATTTTCTTTTAATTTGATTCCTATCCTTAGATATACGTTCCATAATGTTTTATTTAAGAGTTTTAAAAACTCAATTCTCCGAATTTTTGAGTGAGTATGTATTTTTACTTACCTATCGCCATTGAAAGTTATACCTATTTGCCACATTTATACTGTACTTTTAATGCCAGCTCCTGTACTATCGGATTTTAAACTGTGTTTGAATATTCCAGATTTTTTTTTATTGCCCTTGTAGGCAGACGAGCATACGGCCCACCAGATGGTGAGTGGTTACCGTCGCCCATGGACTCCAGCAATGCCAGGGGCAGAGCCAAGCCGCTGCCTACAAATGAGTCGACTATTATCAAAGCCGGCAATGTGACTTTTGGACAATTATTGGTAAATCAGAAAAACGAATTATTGACTTTGTATTCCATTGGCAGTCACAAAACTCTTCTGAACGACATCTTAGATAAATAACAGGTTAAGTATTAACCTTTATTTAATGCAGGTTTTGAACCGTATTCTTTGAAGGAGACGATTATATTCAAATCAATCTGTATTGACATATCAATAACATTTTTTTGTCCAAATGCACAGATTGCCACCTTTGATAATAGACGACTCAAATATACCTCATAATTTTAACTTACATAACTTTCTAACCAACTAGAATTAAAAATAAGTTCGAAAATCATAATTAAAAGCCATTCTAGCCGTTGTATCTTGTTATTAACAAAAATCAACATGACGGTCGTATCGACCCTTTGTGTACGAAAACAGAATGATTTGAACAGAATAAATTTTAATAAGAATTATATAAAAATAATATATTTTACTCAGTATTTTTTAACTTCCAAAATATATCTTTTAAATGCGGACAACTTGAGAGTTTGTACTATTTATATTAAAACCCTTTTGGTGGGAATAGAAATGATATCTTAAGAACGGGTTATCTTGGTGAATCTAGTGTATCTCCACTTCGGATAGTGGAGACTTATTAATTAGTCTCTGTAAAAATGCAGAACTGTTGCGAAACGGAACTAAATCATTAAACAAAACAGGACATCAAGTATTTTCAAGTATATTCATCAAGTATATTCATTATATCAAGGCTTTTCAAAGTATAATTAGAAAAAGTTAGGATGTTTTTTTCCTTTTTACTTCAATTTATATCTCTTATCCCCTAAATAAAAAACATCTTCAACCTATTTATCTTAACAAAAAACTAGCAAACAAACAAAAAGAACATAATAATTTTTTCTTCTACCTACGCCGAAAGTTCGGTTTTCGTCCCGCTGTACAGAGAAGAAAGTGTAACTTTTCCTCCCGCTGTACAGGGAAGAAAGTGTAACTTTTCCTCCCGCTGTACAGGGGAGAAAGTAACTTTTTCTCCCTGGGTACAAGTGCGCATGCGCGTTAGTGTCTACGTCTGCTCTCACGCACCTAAAATTCTCCGCCATTGTTGTGCTCGGGTAATTTGCATTATTGTGTTTAGTGTAAAAATGAAATAAACAAATGGCAATAAAACTTTATACTGAAATATTAAACAAAGATGAGTTCATCAGACAGTACTTATTTAATTAGTGGTAGTTTATTTAAAAATTAAAAACAATTAATTTTTATTTTATGTGGATGGGGGTCTTCGCCCCTGGACCCCGGCTCGGTACTCCACGAACTTTCGGCATGGTAGGAGAAAAAATAGTATGTGCACCGCGGGAGAAAAGTTGGACATTTCCTCCGCGTGAGGACACGCTGGAGGAAATGTTTTCTCCCTTGGTGCACAATGTACGACTACATTTCAGTGTTAAATGAAGTCGGCAAATCTGAAAAAAAGTATTCTAAGAATTTTAATTATAAAACTACACCTACCTACATATACATTTATGTGTATTATAACCACCATTTACTGAGATTAAATTTCATCTCATATCATCTTATCTAATTTCATTTCATTTAATTTCATGCCATTTGATTAATGTTTCAAATTAGTGACCTTCATATTACCACCATTTTTCATAAAAAATTATAAAAGATTAGACTGTAGACCTTTGCCTTTCCAGTTGGAAAAATAGAACTACTACTATAACTTCTACAATAAACTATCTTCAATCAGAGTAACTTAAGCTTTCCGTTCAACATTAGACCACTTACCCACTTTTCTATTTTTTTATTTCCAAGCGGGATACATTTTACCATAAACTTCTCGGTGGTAGATTCTGCGAAGCACGGCTCTTGCTAGGGTTCGTGTTAGCAACGTCGTCAGGTTTGAGCCCCGTGAGCTCACCTACTAGTTAAGGTTACGCTGGAATAGCCTCTCAAGGCTACCAGCTTAAGTAGGAAAAAAAACTGAAATTTTGAATTATGAGGTTTATTATTTAATGAAGAAAGCGCGCCAAAATTTGATATTTGTCAGCAAATCTTTTCTTTCTTGAGGTCGATTCTGAAGTGGTAGGTCGTGACAAATGAAACATCGCAGCAAAGTTTTTTATATTCATACTCAAAAGTTTCATAGAAAGGTAAGTTTGTACTTTTTATAATAAGTAAAGGTTACAGGTGTAGTTTTATAAAAAATCAATATGATCTATATTGTTGTTTACGTGTTTAACATTGGCCCACCATTTTGTGAGATTATTACTCTATGCTCATGAGAAATCATTTAAATTTCAATTATAAAGGTTAAAAACCACGGAAAATCCATATTTTTTATTAATATCCAGTAAAACTGGGACAATACGGACAAAATTGTTCGCATGGCGGGACAAAGCTACCCAGATGAATGGACTTAATGGTGCCTATCGAGAACTACTAATTGCATAGATAACAGGTACACATATTATTTAAGAATCAAGTGTATTATCTATGAACAGACAAGACTGTATGGGCTTAGATCCTCTTGCCTTAATAAGGAAAAATTGTACCAAAAAAATATCTATGGTCTTGTGGCCGCTTCGTTTCCTTCATAGTTTCCCTTCCCTATTTTGTTTTTGAGCTAAATATCTTTTTGTTTATAAATATTAATGATAAACTGTAATTAAAATAAAGTATGACTACTTATACTCAATTACAGCGCCTTAGTAATTATTTTTTAGGGAATTACAAGACTGTTCTATGCGGAAGGTAAGTTTGAGGTTATAACGCTTAAAACATTGTTTATTTATGAATTAGTAACTGGCTAAAGACCCTTCTAAGTTTTTTTTTATTAATTAATTCGACGAAAAAATAACGAACAGTAGTATTAGTTACTTCCGCGTATCTTCTATAAGCAAACAATGATTTT